CAGCTCCTTGAAACCCGTGATGCACAACAGAAGCACAACAGAAGCACAACAGAAATGCTTGCCTGAGCCTCCTTCATGGTCTGTAAGAGTGAGCTGAATTAAGAATGACTGAGACAGCAGGTGTGGAAGGTGAGTGCCTTTTAGGCCATTACCTCATTTCACTTACAAGAGTCCATCCATTAAACACCCATAGCAATGCAGCCGTAACTTGCTTTTATGTTTAGTGTAGCCTTTTCAGGTTGGAAACTAATACTGGGAAAGCCACGACCTCTTACCACCCTGACTGTGCGGTGTCCCAACTAAGTGGTGGACACCGGAGTTCTTAATGTTGGTGATTGGTAGGGAAGGACTGGGGATCAAAAGGACTGTCGATAGTACTTACTGGTTTTGGAGAATGTCAGGATCATCTCTGTAGGGGTAAAGAAACATTGCACATGTCTAAATGGTGTCTGTGGGGCACTCACTCTAAAACTTCATCTCATAGGCGTCTAAAGGAGGGAAACAAGACTGTAAATTGTGTTCATGACAGTCCATTTATGGAGAAGAAATGCTAGGAGTATAAGCATGCTTACAGGCAATGAGGGATATTTCAGTCCTCATACTCCAAAACAGCAGTTCTCTTGTTTTATGGTGTGACTCTACCAACAGAGCACTCTGCTGTTTCAGAAGTGTAGTCTTTGAATATGCTTAGATTTTACAGCCAGGATGGAAAGAGGAAAAGCATGAAAGAAACTAAGGGAAGGTGTAGAGGGCAACGAAGTGAATGGCAGTGTGGTTAAAGTACACAGAGCCTTTATTTAAAGGGTTCTAAGGAAGGACACTGGATTGAATAGTTGATAATCCAACTGAACACAAGAGGGCTACAGTAACACATTTTCTCTTGACAGAGAATTCTGGATTGAGTTTTATTAATGTCTGTCTACCTCTTGGCCTGCTCTTAGTTTTATGCAGCTGGGAAATGAAATAAAATGCTATCCTTTACTTTTGTACACTTATCAGTTCAGTACAGGCTATAAGGGCTTGCGACTGCTATTTTTAACATTTTTCTAGTACTTTAAACTGCTGGGATTACTTCCTGAACATGCTGTTGCTGCTGATAAGGTACCAAAATCTGTGGCACAGATAGATAATCAGCTGTGTTCTCTAGTGATATGAGTGTTTTTTTCTGCACTTAAATTATGGAGAATACAGATTGTGTGAGCAAATAAGGAAAAGGGAACATTTGTAAAGCAAGGGAAAATTGTCTGGAAAAGTACAAACTCCTGCCTGGTAACCAAGAACAAGTGTTAGATTGCTTCTCTATTGATCCGAAGTGCAATTAAAAGCTACCTCCTGCAGCTGAATTTAGATTGGGCTTTTAAAGTTTTCTCTTTCTCCTACAGATCTAATATCAAGTGGAAAAAAACCTGCACAGCAGGTCTCCTGTAGAGTCACCAAGTGGAGTGTGCATCAGCCTGAACTCCTGGTTCTGCGCAGGGCTGCTTACTGCAGTAGTCTATAGCTCTGGGTGCCTGGCAACAGTTCAGTTTAGGTGCTGAGAAAAGACACTGAGACGTTGCTAGAATCAGTGTAAATGGCCAGTGAACTGCTTCATTTACTGGGGTAGAGTCAGTAAAAAGGCTTCTTTCTGCAGTAAAAAGGTCTTTTTCAGAAAGGATTTTTTGGCAGTTTTTTAAAAGGAGGTGAGAATGTTATATTCTGTTCTCTCCCTGCTGTTCTTTAGACAGTGGTTTGTGTTTCTTAATTGGAGCTGTCAGGATTTGTTTGTTTTCCTGGAAACATACATGAATTTAACTTCCCAGTCAATTACAAATCATTACTGAATGTATAGTTTTACTTATATGATCCACTATTAGCTTCTGCAGTCCATAAAGCTTTCAGAGATAAGGAGGGCCTAAGACAAAGGCTGTTGCGGTTTTAGGCATCTGGCATTTTAACTTCCTTTCAAGTCATTCATGTCCAAACTCACTGAAACCTACACTTAGGAGATAGAGAAGCTCTTACAGCAGCTTTAGGCACACAAGGCTCACTGTAACTCTTGTGAACATTTTATACTTCTGAATGCAACAGCCTGCTAGAAGAATGGAATATAAGCAAAGAGGATGCAATACATAGTAGCATGAAAAAGCTGCTTGCCTCACTTGAAAACCTTTTCAAAGGGCCCTCATGAAAGAAGTATGAGCATTTTCCTCCAGGCAGGGACAGAAGCAATACGAGAAGGGTCTTAAAGTCTTTTTGCAGCCCATTTGAGTTAGATATATATGTTTGCCTCTCTTTGCAAGCTTTTGTGTTCAGATTAACTGGGCCTAAGGGAAGGACCTGACGTTTTTATGGCATACGATCACCCCACCAGTTCACCTGGTACACCAGCTGTGTGCCACAGCTGCCTCCCCCTGCTCCCATTGTTGTGTGACACTGATAACCATCAGTAGTTCCTACCTGGGGAGTTTGAGCTATCTTCTTTATCATAACATTATGCAGGCACTCAGTGCTAGTGATGGAGAGACAGGGAGGGAAGAATTCCAGCTCCTTACTGCTTCTAGTTCACCAGTGATTAAGTATAGCCTGGCTTTCCATGCTGGAAAACATCTAATTTAGGCATGCTCCTGTATCTGCAGCCTTGTTTCTGTAGGGCAGCAAAATTCTGTCTGCTAACCTGCAAGACTAGCCATAGTGAGTTGACATTGGCCACTGCTGCTAATGTGCACTGTATGCATGATGTGTTTGCTGCTGCTTTTTTTCTGATGTACTTACCAAAAAAAAAAAGCAGCAGGCTATTTTTCTTGGGTTCATGGGCCTAATTACTTCTCATAGAAAAGTAAGGTTACAGGAAAGCGGTTGTTAAGCAAAAAGAAGTTACTGGCCATCACCAAGGTAAATTACATAAGTAAAATGTAGGCTGAACAAAAGTGTTTTCATGGAACTTAGGGGTTTGGAAGGGGTGAGGAGAATGTTCATTCCTTAATTTTGTATTAATTTTGGAGATGAAAGTGTTGATGCCCCACATCTGTAGTACAATTGCACTATGATGCCCACATTCTTGCATGTTAGGCAAATCCAGTTCCAAGCATTCACAGAGACGTGGCTTCCCCAGTCATGCAGTGGTATCTGTAGACTCTCCCCATTTACCAACAGTGAGGAGCACCTGGGGCTTAAGTGCAAAGCCAGCTCTCTGTTCTGCATAGGCCACAGTGGGCAGAGCAGGGGGCTGCAAGAGACAGGAGCATGGCCGTGGTCGTGTGGAAGCTAAATGTTTACTAGATGTTTACCTCCTGCAAAGGCACCATGGGTACTGTGGCACTTGGTGTGGCCTGTTTACTGGTTCAGCTATCTTTCAGAGAATCTAGGGGAAGGTTTTGGTCTACTTTAACAGAGGCTAATAGCAGTAAGCATGTATTTGACAGGTATACTGAAGGCAAGATAGCGCCCAGGAAAAAACAGCGAAGCTGGTGCTGTCTGGCAGCATGGTGGGGTGTATGCTGCACCATCTTGATGTGGTCTGTAGATAGTGCTGCTTTATGGGCCCAGGATATGTACTCAGGAAGTGACAGGCCAGAGAGAAATGAGCAGATGAAGTATGGCTGAGATCTATAGGCAGCTGGGACTTCTTGTGTTGTGCTGCTTGGCAGGATAGGGTGGAACTTACAGAAAACAGAACTGAGCAAGCACTGTGAACTGCTAGCATGTCTATCTAGACCAAATTCTTCACCGTGAGGGTGGTGAGGCACTGGCGGCATAGGTTGCCCAGAGAAGCTGTGGATACCCCATCACTGGCAGTGTCCAAGGCCAGGTTGGATGGGGCTTTGCAGCCTAGAAGGAAAGTTGGAACTAGATGATCTTTGAGGTCCCTTCCAACCCAAACCATTCTGTGACTATAAATCAAAGCTTATGGAGGGCAGAGAGGAATAGGGTCATGCATGCTTAGGGAAACATGTAAGTTGCCTTCACACTGTTAAAGGAGCACACCCTGCACATGTTCTCTGCTCCTGTAAACAAGCATTTCTATCTGGGAGTGGATTTCAGCCCAGCTGCCCTCTCAGTTGTGCACAAACAATTGCTTTTGACCAAGGGACCTTTTCCACTTTGCTGAAGCCAGAGGCTGAAGAGGGGTTCTGCTGGTGCCAACCATTGGCACCACAGTGTCCCCTGGAGTCCCTGAGCTCCTTTGGATTTCCCCTTCTCGCTGATGACTCAGGTGCATCATGCAAGAGCAGGGCGTCAATCTGCCCAGAGCAAATGGGAACCATATTCTATATCCAGACACACCGCGCTTGGGGCTAGACGCATGCTACGCACTGCGGAATGTATCTTCCTTAGACTACAAACATGGGACTTAAACATCCTAAGTCTTCTCATGTTATGCTTATGTGGTGGTTTGCTGGATCAGACTCCCAGTAAGAGCTTGAGAAGACTTAGACGTGGATTTAGAGCTTTTGATTCACGTGCTGAGTCTGTGGATGTTGTGCATTTTTTGGCAAGAGCTGCTTATCAGCAAATCCCTGCCAGAGTTTACAGGGGTTTGCTGATCTACCCGCAGAGCTGCTCCTGTTTTGCTCTCTCCTCCAGCTCTGTCAAAAGACACGTTAGCAAAGCCCAGCCATTTAAGATATTTCAACTATCTGAGTTTCATTTTGATAGAGATGGGCTGCAGAGCAATCATGCTGGTTACGCTACCACAGTGTCTTTAGCGTATGGATGCTTGGAAGGGGAGCAACTAGAGCCGATGGAGGACATGAACTGCGTTTTTGTTTCACTGTGGCGAGAAAGGCCCCTTTTGAGTGGTTAACACCTGTGCAGGGTCTGGGTCACCCCATGTGCGGGGACGGGGTCTCTGCCGCCCCTGCCTGTCATCGGCACCCTCGCTTCCCACAGCGACCGGCCTGTGAGGAGCTGTCCCGGAGGCAGCCCGACGCCGCCGGGGCCCCTCTCTCCTACCCGACGGCGGTGCCCGCGGCGAGTCCCTGCCCGGCGGCGGGGGGAGGCGCCCGCGGAGTGCCCTTTCGCGGCATTGTGGGAAGGCGCGATGCGGCCGGGGCCTCACCTGGCGCGGGGCGGGGAGGGAGGAGGGCAGGAGGGAGGCGGCCGGCAGCCAGCCCGGCCGGGCCGGCTCCGAGCCCGCCGCCGCCACGACATGGTAAGTGGGCCGGGGCTGCCCCTGCCCCGCCGGTGCCGCGGCCGGGCCGGCGGAGCAGCCCCCCTCGACGGGCGCGTTCTCTGTGCTTCCTCGGCTGGGCGGGCTGGAGGCAGTGCGGAGGGGAGATGCCCCCCGAGCCCCTCGGACCCGCGGGGACAGGGTTGGTCCGCCCGGAGCCGAGACCCGGCGCTTGGCCGACTGGAGACCCTCGGCGGGGCCGCCTTGGACGTTGCTTTCCCGAGAGCCGAAAGCAAACAGAAATGTTTGCGCGCTGCCCGAGAAAGCAAAGTCCCCGTGGAGGTGGGTTCGAACGTGGAGCCTCTCTGCCGCCCGGGTGCCCCGTCGTGGTGTACCTGCGGAGGGGGCTGGTCCCGGAATGGTGCGGCAGCGGCTCCCTTGTGTTTGGGAGAAAGAAACATGGGTTTTGTTCAATAATCATTCCGCTGGAATAATCCGAGTTGGCTTAAGTAGACGTAAAAGGTGTTCTTTGGAAGGTGCATGCCAGCCTGCTTGCGATGGCTGTGCCGGCTGCTCCGAGCAGCAGAAATGCCATTTTCAAGTAGGCTTGAACGAGGTTAGCACCTGTTTTGAGGAAATGGAAGTTATATTCTTTTTTCTTTTTGCCTTGTGACCGTTGGGGTGAGCTGGGGTCATGCTGACAGCCTTTCATAGCCAACCAGGAAAACAAGGCTGTTACAGAGGGAGGCTTTATAAAGGCTTCCTGTAACTTGAGGAGCTGAGGTTCAAGTCGGCTCCAGTGCCTGGAGAAGTATCGAATGTGGTTTCATAGGGATCTGTGTCTGCTGGCTGGCTCTGGGGTCAAAGCGGAGCAATGCTGGGCAGTGAGGTTTCTTGTAATGGGAGCATTGGGAAGAGCTTTTCCCCACGTGTACTCCCTGGTGCCGGGTAACTGGAAAGCTTGGACGGCAGCCTTGCCTCCAGCTCAACTGCCTAGTCTCATGGGGGTCCTAGGAATTTAGTTCCGCTTTTCCATCAATTAATGCATCCGTGAGAGAGCGTATGGGTCTGGTTCTCTTCCTTGTAGGTTGTCTGTTGGCAGCCAGTGTACGTGTGCAACCCAGCTCCGTGGTGGGCCAGAGGTGGCAGCAGCAGCTTGTTTCAGTTTGGAAGGGGGCAGCAGCCCTTCTGGTGGAAGGGCTGGCAAGCAGGATCTTGGGAAGAAAGCCCTTTGGCTCTCCAGTGCTGTAATTGGTGGTGGTTTGCTGGGATCAGTAAAGGTTGCCGTGGTTATTCTCTTTTGTTAAGCGTGTTGACCAGTATCCTCAGAATAATGGCTAGATTTTCCCCAAGGAGGACTGCGGGCTCTCAAGCAGTAAGATGGTCAGCGATGCTGACCATTGAGAAAGCATCTTGCTGCTTGATAATTCGGACTTGGGGCAGGTTCTGCAAGTGTGCCCGGAGTTGCTGTCTTGTACAGTTTGTCTGTTGTGTGCATCTGAAACACCAGTTAACTGGCAGAATGTAAGTCTCTCACCTCCTTCATCAGCGGCCAAGTTTCGTTGTTTCTCTCTATCCTCAAAGGCAGAACTACGTTGTTTCTTTTCAGTGGTTTAGCCAGAATGCTAAATATGTGTTAGTTTAGTGTATTTAGGAAGGTGTACCTGTCATTACGTTTGCAAATATGTATACAAAGTAATGAATTTACAGATGGCAACACAGTCTCCACACACCCTAAGTCCCTATGTAGATATAAGCTTTCTGGTTACACCCCGAGACAGGCCTACATATCCACTTCCCTCAGGTAAAGCTTATGTAAACAACTGGAACTCCTATTTTGCTCTTGAAGGTCAGTAAATATGGGAGCTGATTTCAGGGAAGCTGATCTCAGAACTCCCTGATGCATGCACTTCGCAAATGCCAGTTTTCAAAGCACTCACGGCAGTCCCAGGGGAGCGCTGCTTACAATATTGCTGCTTATGGACAATTTGGAGACTGTCTGCTGTATTGATTGTTATAATTTTATAAGGTGAGTGTGCATTCTTACAATTAATTTTTTTTGTCCTTTTCTGAGGTCGTAGTACAAACCCTTGCTGGTGTTATTCCATTAACTAGTGCTGCCAGCCTTACCCCCTTCTGTTGTAGAACCAGTGTTGGTGAAAGGGTGCTTTTGTCAGGCCACTCTTTTGCTTAAAATTCTTCTGTCTGTCATCCAGTCTCCATGAAGGGCTTGTTACACTGGGCTGTGTGTCAAGAAATAGGGGTTACTGGGTTACAAACCAAGAATAAGCCTTATTCAGGCTCACAAGTGAAGAACTTTCAACAGGTCATTTAAACTCGCCATAGATCAGTTCCTCCAGTTTGGAATGACGTAGTTGTGCTTGCCTCCTTTTTTCTATGTTTTGAAGTCTGAGTGGAAGGTACTTGTGCAAATGGTATGGTGTCTTAGCAGGAAGGTTGTTCAATTGTTTTCTCTGTTGCAGATTTCCAGGGAAGTTTCAGGAAAGAGTCTGTTTAGCAAAGCTAACTTCACATCCTGCTGAGAAAGTCAGCTTTTCTGCCTGGCTGCTACTTTTGTAACATGCTTAAACAAAGACTTTACTATAAAGAGACTAAATTCTGCTCCCTGACATATATGGGTGCAGTAGAGAAACGTGTCCTGAAGAACTGCTGTCTCAACAGAGTCGAAGAGCAGGGAGAGAGCAGAGAGGAGAAAATTATCAGTTTCTCCAAGGATATGTGTTACTGTAGTCTCTCATACCTGTAAGTGTCGCGACACCTTGATCTCACTGCCACCTCAGTGTTATTAGTATTACATTCATGACAGTTCATGGCTCTGCTTGCATAGCTTTGAGTACAGGACTGCTGCCTGCGTAGTAAAGGCCCTCCTTCCCTCCATTCTGTGCTGCTCATCAGCACAATGAGAAGAATTAGTACTTGTGGGCATGATCTGAAATCCTGGCCAAAGATCAAAAGAATCCCATGGAGCAGAGGGTCCCTAAAAATGGACTTGGACTGACTAGAAAAGGAGTTGGCAAGCACTGTTTCCATTTAGCAAGGCATTTGATACCAGTCACTGATCTAGAAGGGGAAATATTATTGAAGTTGCTGACACCTGGCTGGTGTTTGGCAATGGACTTTCAGCTATTCTGAATGCTGACCTCACCAACAGTCTCAACGACCTTAATTGTTAAAACAGACACAGGTCTGCAAAAGGTGTTTTCAGTGCTGCACAGAATTTACTGTCCACAGTTTGAAGAATGACTGTTTTTTTCCACTCTGTGATGTAGCTGTGTATTGACCTAGCGAAGACGAACTTTGCTTCTAGGCATTTACCTCTGAAAGACAAGAAGGGCAGCAGATTAGAATAGATGAGGGAAGGAGAAAAAATTGCAAATAAATGATTCTTGTTGTTTGAGGCAGTGTTCTACATTGGGGGGAAAAACAGTCCAAGTGGTATTTCTTTGTTAATTTGTCTTGCAGTGAATTGTTAGTGTGTGAGTAGATAACGGTAATGGAATGGATCCTGAGTAGATAGACTTTTAAGCTTGAGAAGAGATGACTACAGGGGAAGAGATAGAAATGCATGAAGTCATGAACGCCAGAAAGAATGATTGCTACAGGAAGTATTAGGGTACATCCTGTTAAATTTTTAGGCACTAAATGTAAAGAAAACAAAAGGATGCTGTAGGTGTCCTAATAGTTAAGGAAGTTCATAGAGGATGGGTCCACAAGTGCATCATCTGGATCCAGTTTCTGGCTATGAATCCTTAAACCTGTGATTCCTGGAGATGGGACTACCAGAATGATTTTACACTTGCCATGTTACACATGCTGTCCCCTTCTGGAAGCTCCTCAGTTCACAGTACTGCTCAGAGGGTGATCCATAATCCAATATTCAGTTACTCTGTCATTCACTTGGGCTTTTGAATAGCATTTTATGGGATTTGTCAGGAAAAATGTTTTCTAGGGTTCTTTATCTCTGACTGTTGATGTGGTCCTCTTCCAGTTTTATATGTTCTCTCTCAAGTATTCACTCATAACAGACTGTCACTGTTACACTAGAGAGCACTCTGGACTGGCTGGCTATGCAGTAATTGTGATGCACACTTCACTGTCCCTGGGTAATAAGCTCATTTCCGGAGAGCAAAAGAAATGTTATGATGGATCATCTGCTGATTCTTTGCTTAGGTGATCTTTTAATTTATTTTCACTTGCAAATAAGGAAATTGCAGGTATGTCTCAGAGCCAGGAGTTACTACTAGGACATGGAGTGCCTGGAGGGCTTTGGAGAAAACCATGGTGTGTGGGGTAAGCAAACGCAGAAAAAGGGCTGGAGTGTTAATGGGCAGCTGTGGCTATGAGGAAACAAAAATAATGCTGCCGAGTCTGTGTACCATGTAAAATGCTTGCTGCTTTTCTCTACCTTTCATCATTTCAGAGTCGCATGCTGTATAAACCATCCCATAGACCTTCTGCCTTCTGGAAGCATCAGTTATGTGCAAGAGCAGCAAAGGGACAAAATGATGAAAGTGGGGAGGAAACTGATGGTTCAGGGAGGACAGGTAGAGCTGCTCCTCCCTGAAGTACAAGGTTTATGCTTTGGCAGTACATCAAGCATTTATGTGAGCCAGTTGTAGTGTTTCCAGTGATGCCTAAATGAAAACCATGCTGCTCCTGTAAAAAGAATTCTTTCTGTATTGCATACACAGCTACTAATTACCATCCCTGCCCATTCATTTTCCTACTGTCCTATTCCTATGGGCTGTCATCTGCGTTTACTTGGCTGCTTTGGGTGTATGCTTTCTTGAGCAGCCCTTTGCATTTTTGCAGGTGTTGTAGTTTAGAGTTGCAAGATCCAGTCATGTACAAATGGTATTTCATTTGTGAGTAGGAATATAGTCAGAGTCACTGGTGTAGGATGGGAAAGTAAACTTTACATTTGTGTGTTTGAAGGCAAGCTTGACGTGCCTTTCTGACCAGGCATGTCTTTCTGGACTAGTATGTCCTGGGTTTGTTTCCTGATACCACAGGTGTAACCC